TTCTTATTCGTCCAATGTTCTGAAGGGCCTACTCCAGTTTGTTTCCACCGTCATTCTCTATTTTCTGGTAAAATGCCACCTTTTTCTGCCTTTTCAAAAGCTGAATATATATATATATATATATATATATATATATATATATATATATATATATATATATATATATATATATATGAAGAAATAAAAAAAAAAATGAAATAAACAATTTCCAACTTTTATACTTTTATTTATTTTTTATTATTATTACTATAAACGAATCGAGTTGACGCGAAATGCAAGTTTGTTCGAAGTTATTTAAATCATATCGAGCTTCAAAAGATACGTATGTGCAGACAAGCTAACAAGTCGAACCCGATAAATCCTTCACGTAACTTCATTTTTTTATACATACCTTCTTAACGAATTTGGTACCTATTTTGCTACTGTTAAATGTTGTTAATAGTCGTATTAAAAAAACCATTTAACTAGTGGTTATAACGATATTTTGCCACGTTTAATGGTCGTATTAAAAAACCATTTTTATACCAGTGGTTATAACGATCTTTTAACAATCGATATTAGGTCGAGTAATACGCAACTTGATTTGATTTCATCAAGTTTAATTCTTTAGTTCAACCCAAATTTAATTGAATTCCTTCATTTTTTATACCAAATTAATAAATACAGAAAAACAAATATAATTAATTTGAAACTAACATCACCCAAAGCAAACCCCGCATAGCATAAAATAAATATGTAGTCATATAGGCAAATTTGCAAATAAAAAAAGATCACACTGAATTGTGGTCTTTCCTCAACTCTCAAGACAAACACAACCTTCTAACACAAGACGAACACATTCAACGGGGGGAGTCGATTTTCCTAAAAATAACACAATTTGCTCAATAAAGATCGGTTTCCTTGTGTGTGTGAATCACACAATCCGAAGTAGGGTAAGAAACGCATGTAAGCAAGTACCCTTCCTTCATTTGGTTGTCATCGAGAAACGAGCCATCCGATTGGTCCACCTCACCCGTGATAATCTTGCCTGCACAAGTGGAGCAAGCACCTGCCCTGCACGAGTAGGGCAGCTCGAGCCCGGCTTCTTCGGCCGAGTCGAGAATGTATGCATCGTCCGGTGCGTCGAACTCTGTCTCGGTTCCATCGGGCCCCACCAATTTCACCTTGTAACATGCCATTGCACATGCTCGAAAATCGGGCTTCGATTTCAAGCCCAATGCTTTTGTTGCGCTCTTTAAAGAGCCCAATGAAGACGGGCTTTTTAGGAAACTGGTTTTGGTTCGGGTTTGTGGGGCGTTTCCGAACATGCAAATTGTCGGAAGTCTTGCGGTTGCCATTTTCTTCTCCTATATAAAAAATAGAAAAGAAGACTAATGTTACTTTCGTGTTTAATTTGGTGGTGTAACTATAAAAACAGCATTACATGTGATATATATATAAATATATGTGCATGCTGCAAATGGCCACAATGATGGAAACACAATGGCCATCGATTTAAATAGCAACGAAGCGAATAAATATTCGGAGCATTATGAGAAGTGCAAGCAAAATTGCCCTTCACTCGAAGCTCCATAAGAAAGAAATCATAACGAAAATACAATCGCAAATAAAAAAGGACAAAAATACCCCCAAAGATTCAAGATTCTGCTAAGCAACCAATCTTAATCAACTTCATCATATGCAGGGAAATTGCAAATGGATCTCAAATAAAAAGTACAAGACAAGGACAGCATAATATATTTCTCCATCAATTATTTCAGATTTCAGACAAACTAAAACCAAAGCATCAGCCACCTTAAAATCAGAGGTCATGTAATAAAAAGAAACAATAGAAAAGCAAGAAGCAAACATAAATATTATTTTTTTTTAAAGAAAAAGAAAACCCAGAACACAGAAAAGCAAGATCTAGCCCTGATCTAAAAAGGGTCGAAAGTTGATCCAAAGGTCCGGTTTTTATCAAGAACAAGAAATCAAAAAACACGAAGAAAAAAACTCATCAACTCTTGCCTTATTAATAAAAGAAAAAAATGAAGAACAAACAGCATACGGAGATATCGAGGTAAAGTACTAATCAAGAACAAAAGGAAAGAGGAAGTACCTTGATTTGTAAACTAGAGGGAGAGAGAGAGAGAGAGAGAGAGGAGTTTTGGTTAGAATGGAGGTGTGTGAGATTGTAATAGTAACAGTAATATTTAAGGGGGGCGATACGATCAGAGAAAAGAAAGATGCCCTAATCACTAATGACAGAAAACAAAGGCTACCAACCCATTTGCCGCCGCCCCTTGCTTTGGTTTTTTTCTTTAATTTAATTAGGCTTTTGTTCGCTCGCTCTATTAATTATTTGTTCCATCTTTTGAACAATATTTTTACTTTTATTTCAAAGTTCCGATTTTTCCAAAGAAAGAATTAAAATTAACAGAGCTGAAATATATATTAGATTCTCATTTTCGATTCTACTTTTTTTTCCGATAAATTGTAGGTAAACTTTAATTACATTAAATCAAATATTTTGGTTGATGCATCAGCATTTGATAACAAATTAAGTAGAATTATCTTGTACTACTATTAAACCCCTATAAATTAATACTTGCACCAGCCAAACTCTATTAATACACGAATATTAATTTATCAAAATTCTATTATATATGAAAAAAGATGGGAACAAATCAATAATAGGGAAAAACAGAAGCCCAAAACAGTTGAATTTTCGAGCAAAGGTGCTATTCCAGATTAATATATAACTAATAATAAAGAAAACAAAAACCATAAACAAAGATATGAATGCAAAATAAAACAAAATCCATAAATAAGGTCATTTCTCACAATGTCAAAATAACAAAAACAGTAAAGATTCCAATATTCAAATCTAACTTTTGCTCTCTTACAACCTTTCCCCCAAGTGAAACAGGAAACAAAACTCCAATTAATCGATTAGAAGACACGTTGAGGTTTGCCCATAGTACTCTTGAGGTATAGGCACCTCACCTGTGATAAAACAAATGAAACATAAGCAGTCAATCAATCAAAAGTAATATATTCGAATCGAACGAACAAAAACATTTCAAAAATGAAGTAAAATTGGCTTACATTCTGCCAATTCTTCTTCAAAAGGGAAACTAAGAAGTTGACGCTCATTTGCACGTTTTGGAAGATCTGCTTCTCTTCCATGGAAAGGTTTCCTACAGCAACACCCATGCAAAGAACCTTCTTCAATTGGAACTTGACTGTTGCTTTCGTCTCGTTCACCTTTGCTTCCAGAGATTCTTGGTGAGAAACCAGAGTCGGGAACTTACCTGCATCAACCGTAGTGCAAAATAAGCAACAAAAAAAAACGAACAATATCTTACATATTTATATTCTTGAACTAATATTCAAACACGAGCACCAAAACATTCCATATCTAGCATACAATTCTCGACATCAGATAAAAACAAATCTGTGTACCTAGAAACAAACAGCAGTACCATTCAGAATATTTCAATCAATGAAATTATATAAGTTGGAAGATATATAGTTTAGAGTATTTTCACCACAAATAAAAATAATAAGACAACACTATTCATATTTTATGCTTTCATTAGACAAACGGGTACTTGCCTGCCTTGTTGAGACCGGGGCCCAAAAGACGGGGAATCTGTTTAATAACAGCTTCGGAGGCTAAGAAAGCATGGTATTTCTTCGCAAGCTTCTTCACCAATTTCTTGTTCTTGTTTAGCTTCTTGAGAGCCTCAACATCCATGGACTCAAGTCCGATCTTTGTGGCCTGAATTAATCATCGAAAATCACATTAAATAATAGTTTCAGTAAAATGTGAATCCAGCAAATGACAAAAAGACGATACATATAACCAAGAGTCAAAAATTGATCCAGCAAATGAAATGCTTCCATGTACAGGTACAAGTGGTGTGTGTGCTTCATCGGTACATTATGTATTTCATGTTCAGTACTCATTCATTACAAAAAAAAAGTCTTTCATTTTGGGCATAACAATTACAATTAAAAGATTAATTATTCAAATATGAAAAAATTAAAACAACAATTTATACCTCTTCAACATGCTGGGCATCTCCAAGCATGCAAATCTTCATTTTAGGTCTGGGAATGTGTGGCAACTTAACCGAGCCACTGAAACGCTTGTCTTTCTGTGGGTCGTAGTTCTTGAGTCCAATCTGGAGCTCGATTGTCTCGGTAAACTTACGATTCTTCTCCTTACAATCGGCAGAAATCTGGGTAATGGCTTCCCTAAGAGCCTCACTCTGAAGCTTACTGTACAAATATTACAATCAGATCAAAATTCAGCATAACCTAAATCTACATATTATTATAAACGGAACATACAACATTATCACTTCTGCAACTAATAAATCCGACCAAATTGAAAACTCAGTGTGAAAAAAAGAAAAAATTATCTCCTCCAAATCACCAAAAAAAACTGTAAATTCTGAAGCAATTAACATACAACAAAACGCAGTTAATAATCTTACAGAGAACACAGATCATGGTCTAAAAGGCATATATTTATCCATTTCCATATAACCCTAATTGGTTCTACTAATTTCAGTGAAGTAGTCAAAATAGATATATCAATAGAACAGAAAACAGCGAGAAAATGTAAAGATTAAACATTTACCTCATGATTCAAGGCCTTCTTATCTTCTGGAAATCACTCCTGCTTTAATGGAAAATAAAATCCGACAAAAAACGAAAATCAATGTCAGTATAGCTTCAATGCATCAAAAATTGAGATGAACAAGCAAGAATGTATGAAGTCCAGAGAGAAATGAAGAAGAGAAGGGCAGAGGCGGGCGGACCTGATAGAAAACCCTAGCTTAGGGTTTGAAGAGTACGATTCATGAATTAATATAAGAAGTTCTTGGGCTGGATATTATAATTGGGCCTCGCTTATAAAACCCACTTCAATTGCTCATTTGTCATATCAAAAGAAAAACCCTAATGTATGAAAATAGCACTTTAATTTCTGATTTTTTTTTTATGTATTCTTAAAATTAAAATTAAAAAACATTAAAAAAATAGACAGATTCATAATATATTTTTTAAATACCATAAGAAAAAATTTGTAAAAACACTAAATATTTAATCTACAAATATGACTATTTGTTCCGACAGAAATTTAGATTCCTACTTAGATAATTCAAATATTTGTAGGGTTTTAACATATTAAGATTGGGTTTAATTACACATTCTTTTATCAAGCCCATGCCTGATTTGGTTAGTGCAATCAAATATAATCATTAATTTTTTAATTGACTCAAACGATTATGTTCATTTTCTGAAAGAAAAAAAATGGTTCACAAAAACCAAAAAAAAAAAAAACAAAAAAAAAAGTAGTACAAGTATAGTATACATTACAAGAAAATATTAATGAAGAGCTTGAGTCTGATTTAAAAAAAAAAAAACTTAAGATATAAACGAAAACCGGGTAAATAGGCATTGTTTGATGAAATATCTCACCTTGTGCCGAGGTTTTTGTTCATAATATAACCAGAACATCTCATTGCATGAAACTTATCAGACAATAAAGCAAAAGCTAGAACTCGAAATTGGCCTGTTCTTACATTATAAAGAAAACCACAGGCATGAACAACAATTATTGAAAATCAAAATGCATTTTTGAATCTATGGAGAAAAACAAATAGAGGCAGATGTAATAGGTAACACACTGCTACTTCATTCTTCAGTTGGTCTCTGTCCCAAAACTGAAATATCCTCGTATCGCTTCTGCAATTCCAACACCGACATAATTAGTACAAAGTAGTTTACATGTTCCTTATAAATGTACCTCGGCATTCACCACAGAATCAGAACTCGCTAATATTAAAAAAAATTGGAATAACAAAAACGCAAGAATAAATGCTGCATATTGAATGAGAAAATACAAGCTCACAAGACAAAAGGTAATTGTTCAAAGTAACTAAAGGTCGTAACCGTTTATGGAATTCTATCCATCTGATTAGCACTTTCAAGATTCAAATAGTTTTGTACAAACACAACTTCTTTTACGATTTATTGACAAACCACTGAACTCCAACGGATAACGGACTCAAAGCAACCTGTCAAAAGTTGTGATTTGGTTTTTCACACGTCTACATCCTTCAACCTCTAAATACTTTCCAAATTTTCAAATCTAATCATACACCAGAAAGATTTGTAACCACCTCGTTTTCTAATTTCAAAACCTGTAGTATCCTCTCATTATCTTCAATAATAACTACTCTTTCATCGATGAAATTACGGGACCATAGAAATATCATCTACACAGAACAAAAAAGCTTAACTACTGCCCACGACAAATTTTCACAAAAACACACACTCATCCCTAATGTCAAGCGAAGATTAACACACGCAAAATCGCTAAAACATGCTATCTACATATAAAGTCAGAACTGAAAATCACGGAGCATTCTCCAAGGTAAGAGTGCTCACAACAGAAGGCATAGCAGTATATCATCCTTGCTAATCATTCTCGTTTAAAAATTCATCTGAAGAGTTTCATATTTTGATCTATCTAAGTTCTCACACATATCTATATATATCGTTAACAATTATTAAACAACTTTTTTCTAATTAACTCATTAGCACACGAAATAACAGTCCAAGCTACACATAGTATAATCTAGAAGCTGTTCGATCCACTTGTTCATTTCTTTCTGCGACCCTAGTTCAATCTCACAACCGTTTAAACCAATAACCGATAACAATAGTTACGAATTATAATTCTTTGATTCGGATGCAAACGAAAAACATTCATGAAACTTGCTAAACCTAATCTAACTAGCTAAACGAACAGGTGCAGGTAAATCACAAAAATCAGCTGAATTTACTAAAATTAAAGGAATAGCAAGTAATAGCAATACCCCAACATTGATGTGGTCCCAGAGACCGCGAATTCCACGATCCACAGCCTGAAATCAGAGCAATGGAACAAAATATCAGATAAATTAATGAAATTAAAGTATAGAATTAAATGAAACATATGAAGCTGAAAAAAAACTCAATCATCAAAAAACAATATTTTTTTTTTAAATAATCCAAACACCCACAACCAACTTCCCCCAAAATCCTCGAATCGTTAATTCCGCATTTTTCAGATCCAATTCAATCGAGTAAATACAAACACGTAGAAACACACAAAATCATAGATATGGATATAGATACAGGTTTAGAGAGAAGATACAGACCCGTTCGCCGAGGAAGGCGCCGACGACGACGAAGGTAACGTAGACAGGAGTGCGGCGCATAATCACTCTGTACATACCCTCCCATACGCCGCCGCTTCGTCTGACTGCCGGTTCCATTTTTCCGATCCTTTTTTTATCTCTTTTTCTGCAAAAAATCGAAAGAGAAAAGTTCTCGAGTTCTGTCAAATCTCTCTCGCACGATGATGAAGGAGAAATGGGGCAACTGCGGATGGTTTGATTGATCCGGAAACTTCTCAACACGGGTTTGTTGATTCAATAAACCGGGTCTAATATTTGACCCGGTTTACTGGGCTTATTGGTTAACATTCATTCATGGTGCTAGGGTTTAATTTATTTGGGCCTACAAAAATCCAGCCCGAATTGACTTAGAGGGTGTTTGGCTAAGCTTATAAGATGTTAAAAGGAGTTTATAAGATGTTTTAGAGCTTATAAGCTCTTTCAAAGTGTTTGGTAATTTTTTAGAAAAAAATCTTATTTTTTTTTTAAAATAAGCTGTTGGATAGCAAATAAGATCTTTTTAAATAAGTACCTCTACCCCACCTTTTTATTTAAGATCTTTTAATGAGTAAAAATAGGAAATAAGCCCATTATCCAAACACTCTAAAAATTAATCCTAAAAATAAGATGTAACAGCTTATCAGCTCTTAAAACATCTTATCAGACGTAAGAGCTTATCAGCTGTTTAAAATAAGCTTAGCCAAACACTCAATTGTAATTAGACCATAATTATTTGACAATAATCTCATATATAATTTGATTAATAAAATTGGATATAAAAAATATCATTTACATTTTACACCCTTAAATCCAATAAATATCATTTATTCTCTTTATTTGAGGGCCTCAAAATTTTAAAATATATATATAGTTTCATAATTTAAAGTATTAATTCATTTTTTGTCCAATAATTACAAATATAACCAAAATTAATATATATTTTCCACCATCAATGTCTATGAATTATAAATTCAACCTTGTATCAATATAATTGAAGTAAAGTATACTTCATTTGTTATTATATTAATTGACTTGTTCAATATGAAAATATTTTTATATAGAATTAATTTCGAATAAAAAATATAAAAGGCTTATCAATTTAATCAATCTTAATTCAATCAACATTCCCAACGAAGAAAATAAATAAATAGCTAAAAAACATTGACTATATTTTCACAAAGCTTATGCGAATTAACTGTAATCAAATCTTTCTGTAACACAAATTAATCTGAAGACATTGTTTCCTTTCAGTATACACTGAGTCAACTCGTAGAGAAACCAGCTGCATTTTCTCCAATTTCAATTAATCCAAAAATAAGAAAAAAGAAAAGATAATACAGTATAGATTGATTATATTTTCCACTGTTTAGAGGTTAGTTTAACTACCACAAGTACAAAGGAAGCTCGCTCACTCACTCACTCTTGACAGCATGGTATATTCTTCGAACGAAAATCAAAGAAGCTCGAAAACTTAGAGCTCCGAGCACCAAGAAGAACGCATAGCACATGCAAAAGCTATATCCGAAAAAGAAACATGCTTGGAGAATGCCGCTCATATTTGATTTGTAATAAAAGTATACGCAGTAACAAAACATGAATATTGCTGTCGATCCGCCACGTAAAACTGACCTGAATTTTATCAACGGAAGAATATATATCAGTAAAAGCGTTGCCACATCAACATGCACACACAATTACGGATGCAAATCTGACAGATCGGTTTTATTTTTCCAAAGTAAAAAAGTTAATTCCGGTTCAATTTCAAATGTTTTTTTGTAAAAATCTGAAATCAGATGAAAAAAGTAGAGAGTTTATTGCATTTAGTACCCTGATAAAAATCTAAGACAATTAATTGTTTTTACTACAGTCGGCATTTTACGAATATCGACGGAATTTGAAAATTCCACTTCCGTTTTTCACCCCCACACAATGAAAAAAAGAAAAGAAAAAAGAAAAAGAGAACGTACCTCCACCACCAATCGTGATCTTCAACAACCAATTGAAAATACGTCAATCCAACACTGATCATAACAGTGAGCAGAACAAGTATCAAGATCGTAACAAACAAAACTCCAAGAGAGGTGTACACTTTATAGCCCCACACAGTAGCACACAAGTTGTGCAACTCCAAGACAATTGCACTAAAAGGCAAAAGACCTCCGATAAACATTTGAGCAGGTGTTCTTCTATACCAAGCCAAAAACGGAATCTCCCTCGGAGATTTCTTTGCAACCGGAGAACATTGTATATCGTATTTGTTACGTTTTCCAACGACCCCACCAAGTACGAGTAGTGGAATTGCAACGAGCGTATATATTAAAATAATGATAAATATTGTTCCTAGAGGAAGTGCTGCAGTCACATTAAAATACGCAGCGAGTGTATTGAGGATGAATGCTGTGAAGAGAAAAGGGCCTAAGAAGAGTGTCCCTGTAAGAAGTGTGCTCGTTTCCTAGGAAAAAATTGTATATATTTAGCTTCGATATTGTTCGAATAATTTAGCGGAAAATTGAAATGAGAATATAACTACCTGTCCCGTTTCGGAATATTGAATGCAAAAAGATGAGGAGATATATCCGGAAACTGCTGATGTAAGAAGGTAAGATATGAATATGGAATTTGAGAGAGAACCGTGGCTGTGGGGATAAGAGATTCCGAGAAATGCCAAAACAAATAAGATGAATATCCTGTTGAAATAGCAAATAATTTAGGGTTTTTTTTTGCTAATATTAACAGCACGATGATTATTTTAGCAATTCGATACAAGACGGGGGTACTAAATGCAATAAAAACGGAGAAAATGATAGATTACATACATGGTCAATAGCTGGGTCCCACATCCCAAAACGGCGCAAAACAAAGGCAAATTCGTCGGGCATCTCAAAACATCACCGTGTAAGTATTTCCAACCAACCTCTTTCTCCTCATCTTCATCTCCAATCGACCATCTATAAATAAACGATAATAAGAAAAACAAAAAATAATTAGTATTAATATATGTATAATCAATTGCCTCTTAAGATAATGGTGAAGCAAAAAAGACGATAATTACTTTCTTAAATCATTCTTGAGATGCCGCGTAAAAAGCACAACAAGCAGTCCCGTCAGCATTATAACTATCACAATTGAATTAACGAAAGAGAACCAATGAGTTTGTTGCAGTATAGGCAGTGAAGAAGCAGCTAAATATCTTTCCATTCTATTCCTGTACGGTATAGAAGTTTCATTCCAAAAAATGGAATAAGTGAAATCGATTGTGACATCAATATCATCTGTTATATCTAACACGTGATTTGGATCACTCAAGGCGTGAATTTCGACGACTTGGTTTCCGTTGTAGAGAGCATCGAATTGAACGTGTGTGAAAAGATAATACTTTGGTCCTTTACTGTCGGATGTCCAGTTTTCATCTTCGACTTTGCCTATGAATGCCCATAGGGGAAGATCATCATAGTACATCTGGTAATAAAAATCGTTTTTAATAGCGTCCCTGAATTTCGAAATATCCTGTTTATTGAGCTTCTGCTGGCAGTTAACTGCCCTAGTTTTGTTGACTGCGAATTTCAAATCATATAAAGCGTTTGCCAGCCTGTCACCGTTCAGAACTTCCCCAATGCTTTCTCTCTCTTCGAGCACCTGATCTGCCAACAAAAAATTAATAAGATACGAGAAATGCATGCCAAATGGATTAATGATACATGCAGAAGCAAATATTCCTCGAAGATTTACAACCGAAAATGCAAGAGGGTCCACTTGACAATTTAGGAAAATACATCATTTCATTATGCAAAAAAAGCCCTTCTCGATTTATCATCAAACAACAAAATCTTGATAACAATTCTCAAGAAAGCCCCTTCTTGAGATCCCTAATAATCAAAAACAGGGCTACTGTCCTTCCTATGATTCTAACATATGCCTTTGAATTCATAATGCCGAGATTTCAATTGCTGGGAAAATAAAAAGATGCATTCAAGTTTTATCGAAATAATCGTAATGTGTCTCTTAGCCATTGGTATATGACAACTGATATAAGCGAACAATTAAAGATGCACATGAAAAGGAAGAAAAAAACACAGAAGTTAATGTAAGATCCCTGAAAAGGTTAATGCAGAGTGTCACTGCCAACCTGGACGACAGAAGGCCAACTCATAATATTTGTATGTTTCACTGCAAGACGATAACAAGTGAAAACGAATCAGATTAAGATGAATTTACACCAAGTTGCTCCGATCATAATTTATCATAATTCGGTTACAGCAACTACATTTGTAGGTTGAGAATGAATTCGATGGGTGCATCAAAATCCATGAAGAATCATAGAATTGAAAATTATTTTTTTATTTTTTTTGGAAATGAAAATGGGTAAGGGTTATTGATGCCAATTGGGTAAATCAAATGCATTTTTCAGAAGTAAAACCCTAGTTTTCGAATTCGGATCTTATATTTCACGACTTCTTAACAGTTAACAGTGATCATAAAGCCAAGCGAGAAGAAAAATCAATTTTCTTACAAAAAAACCGAAGGAAAACCAACAAATTTCTCAGAGCAAACAGTCAACAAAACCTATTTGTATACATAAACTAAACATACGATGAAAATGCACATGAACAAAAAATTCTTCACTTATAAAATCAAAATCAATACCTAGGGTTATGAAGGGGGCCAATTTTGTTGACGAAAAGGGGGACGGGATCTCCTACATTGTAAGCGCTGGTCGAATGCAGTAGAATTGGCAGTAGTAGCAGCAAATTAGCTACGAAAACCAGTCTCACGATTTCCATTTCGGAGCTGTTTGAATCGTTGATTCTCCGGTGGAGGCGCCGCCGGGGTTTAAGTGTTCAGAGAACGAGGTCAACGACTGTGCCTTTCCCGGGCAAATCTTGTACTGGCGGAAGTAAATCGCATTTTGGGGAAGAAAGAACGCTTTCTCTATCTGTCCGATCTCACTGACACAAACGCGACTAATGTACGGGCCTCTGAATAGAGCCCGACTTATCCCAGTTTGGGCCCGCCATATAAATGGGCCGGAAGCAAAACTTGTTAGTTCAATGGAAAAGCCCATTTAAAAAAATTGATATTATAATGTATAGGGTAAATTACAACCACCCCTTGAGGTATGGTTAAATTACAAAAAACCCCTCTTGTTTGGGTAATTGCAACCACCCCTTAACTATAAATCTTCTTATACGTCCACCCTTGCGGTTTCAAATTTAGTGGAATCTTCAAGATTATATGGAATATTATCAGTTTTGTACCCGTTTTATCCCATTCCAACTCCACATTTTGAAGCAAGATGATCATAATATGTGTTTTTTGACTTGTATATATTATATTGTAGTGCATCAGAAACTGTATTTTTACACAAAACGAGTACAAGCTAGAGCACATTCCACAAAAACTAGATGATTATGTTGAATTTGACACCATAAGGGTGGAGATGTAAGAAAAAATCATAGTTGAGGGGTAGATGTAATTATCCACACAAGAGGGGTTTTTTTGTGAATTGACCATACCTCGGGGGGTGTTTGTAATTTGCCCTAATTTATAAGTGTAATTTTTTAACAAAAAATGAAATCTTCAGAAAATTTTGAAATTTGTAACTTTTGGTATTTAGGATTAAAAAATTTGTAACGGTGGACAATATATATATATATATATATATATATATATATATATATATATATATATATATATATATATATATATATATATATATAAAATATTAATTTTAAGCCTCTAAAGAGCGAGTCAATCTTTGTGCATGAAACATGACCGGTGATTTATTTATTCAATTCCAATTGTCAATTTTAATCCTAATAATTTAAAATTTAGTGCAAGGTTCTAATTGGAATATGACTTATTCAAATTGTTGGCTTTCAAGTTACTTGAACAGCTTAATTATCACAATTACAGAAGTTATTAAGTTTCTAATGGTTGACTACAAGCAACATTATAATATGTTCGTATAACAAGATTTTAACGAATGATTTCGAATAGTTTGGTTTGGTTTTCAGTCGATCCTGCTTATCATTCCCCAAAAACAAATTATTTGACCGAGAATGTAATTATCATTAATCTTGAAGTAATGATAACTTAATACATGACATAATCCTAATGGAAACTTAAGCTCTATATAGTTAATATGATGAGTTCAGATTCATGAACAACTACTCCATTGGAACATATCTCTCTGTCTGGACCAAAATTTGTCTGAATCAATCATTAGTATAAGCTAAGTATGGAGAATAATTGGTAGGGGAATATTTTAAATATATAATATATAAATATTGTTACATCAATAATCCACCTCTTTTTGAAATAGATCATGGGGCCATCTATCACAGATTTCATTTCTAAAAAAATCTAATTTTTTTAGATAATATATATTTTTTTAATTAAAAAAAAACTTGATTGTTACCAAGAATATACCACACCTAAATTATATTCAAATTAAAAATAAATTGTGTCCCTAAAAAACATGAATATGAAGGCCCATTGCCAAGAATAGGAACAAAATATCTATACCTTTCTCCTACATGACAAATGAGGTAGTTTACAGGTTGGCCATAAATTGGTTTTCTTATAGCAAACAAACCATACCTAATATGTTCTTAAGTGGACCTTAATTATATCAAGAATTTTAATTAATTGAATTCCACTTTATCTTACCATGGACCTCCCTAATTCCGTCGACAAAAACTAGGCCGATTAGGGTTTTGTAGATGCTACACTCGGTGAAATACATCGAGAGATCAATCATGCATCATTGATCTACACATAATAACACATACCCAGTGTTTTTCACCCGTGTAGCATCTTATAGACCAACAATTAGGGAGAATGTATATAGAAAAATAATGGAAAAAATTGAAATGATTTAGTTGGGGGAAGCTGAAATTATATTGGATTAAATTGAAAATCAGGGAGAATTAATTAATTAAATTAAGGGGGAAAAGAATCTTTAATATGGCATGGCATTGGCTGAATGACAGGGAATGGATGTTGACCTATCAACAAAGGGGATAATACCAAATAAATCCATTTCAAAGCTTTTGATTATATTTAACAAGTGGGTGTTTTTATTGGTGATTAATAATTTAATTAATTTGGTTTAGGTTGAAAGGATATATAAGCAACATCTTGAATATACAATATTTATATATGATAAATCTTGTCAAGGGGGTGGTGAGTTGTCAAATGCACAAACAACACAAAAAGTAAACTTCTCCGGCCATATAAGTGCGTTCTGATTGGTGGATTAAAAGAGCGTGATATTTAACGACTTCAGCTCGATGTTTTTTACTGCATCATAGTTTAATTTGCAGACTATTGCACGAAAACGAGGTTTATCAAATGTAATTGTTGTTGTTCTCTCAAGACTCCATCTTTATATTTTTTTTAAACATTTGAATGCAACCCTCATCTCATCTCCCTTAATTAAAATACTAATAATTAGATAAAATATCTCAACTTATTAATTCTTTCTCTGTAATTTAATAATCTCAACTAGTTATTCTAGAATTTCATTACATATAGCATAAGAAAACCAATTGCAATTATTTCAAAATTCCACCCACCTCAAAAACATTACATGAAATTCTG